CTTTTATATTTTACCTACTCACTCAGTATAAGCTCTTTATGCTAAAAAAATACAAAAGTCGGTGGACGAGTGGGTAACCCCCTCGATTCCCGACAGTCATGAACCGGGATTGAATCCCGTGTTAAAATTTGTTTAATATGTGAATAACCTTCACATATTATTCATTGTTCAATTATCATGAACTAGGTTGCTTTTGCTGAGCGGTACCTATTTATGTGAATTTGAACCAGGGCTCTTTATGCTAGATATGATTGCTGAAAAATATTTTATTAACTTACAAAAAAATAACAATTTTTAAAATAAATAAAAAAATTGTTATTTTTCTTTTTGTACCTAATATCTGAAAATTTATAAAACTTGCATTGTCATTAAAATTGAGCAAGTATGCAAATTTGTATACAAACGTTCAGATATGAAAATATGTAAAATATTATTTAATTAGAACATAAGATTAAAAATAAATCAAACACGAAACATGTTTATCCATAAATGAACTAAGAAAGAACGCTAGAAATATACAGTAGAACCCCCCTTTAGAGGACACCTCTCTACAAAGAACAGTTTTCATTTGAAAAATTACCATTTTTACAATTTAGCAACTCTCTGGTAAGAGGACACCTCTACCTAAAGAACACTTTGGCTCTGCAATTAGGTGTTGTCCTTTACAGGGAGGTAGTTCTATTGTATCGAATTTTTCTTTCCACTAAAATTTAAATAATAATCGTTAACTTGTATTTCTATTTATGCAAATCTCTACATATATATTTGCATAATAGCCTGTTGAAGAAGGTTATTGTCCGAAAACTCTCAAATAGAGAAATTCGTCGCATCTCTACCTTTAGTCTTTTCTTTACAAAAATATTTACTAAAATTAATGTGTAAATAGTACCGTACCTTTGATTTGTTGTATATTTTAAATTTGGTTTACGCAAATGTTGAAATGTTTTTTAAAAAGGAAAAATAGAGATGGAAGACAACTAAAATTTAAACAAATCATTTTTTATTTATTCTGCTTTTTTTATATATTATTTTTTTAATTTAAATATTTATTTTTGCGGGCGCGTTTTTTAAAATAAAATATTTTAAATTAAATATTAAAAAAGATTTTAAAGCAAATTTAGAGCAGGCGACAAATCTATAGACAATTGGCTTTGAGAAAATATTGTCAAACGAATTTTTGATGGAAACTAAAAGCTAAGTTTTTGATATTTTAGTGTTATAAGAATAAATAAAAAGCTTTATGTTTAGAATTGGAAATAATCTTAATATTTGTTTATGTGTGAATATTTAAATCTATTATATAGTAATATATGTAAAATGAAAGAATTTAAAAGGACGAATGTTTCTTTTATACACAATACAAACTTCTACTGCCCTTACTGCGATGAAAAAATATATTGGGAGGGCTTGGCTCATCAGTGGTGAACCCTCTCAGCGGTTTCGCCAATTTAATCCACCAGACCGCTTCTCAGAGCTCTAATACTGTATTGAACGGATGACAATTAATCCGCCTTCTACACGATACTGTATTGAACGATTCTGCTTATATACGCAGCACTGAAGGGTGAAATCTTAGAAATAGTATTTAAGCAAACTATGGACATAAGCTTATAGGACAGTAGAATTACATTCAAATATTTGCATCGAGCAATGCTCTTCCGCAAACAATAAAGACAAGGTCAGTTAGGCATAAATTAACACAAAGCAATAACGCGCCATCTATACATATAAAATGAAAGAATTTAAAAGCACGCATGTTTCTTTTTTATACATAATACAAACTTCTACTGTCCTTACTGCGATGAAAAAATAGGTAATGGGAGGGCTTGTTTAAATTATATACATTTTTGTCTTATATATATACTAGCGGATGTACCCGGCTTCGCCCGGGTTTTACCCGAGTAAAGGTTTTCTAACGAACATTTGTTAAAACAATTCTCTATAAACTTATAAAAAATATATATACATATGTCATAATATATACTCTTCCTGGAATAATAAAGCAAACCTACAGTCAACCCAGAGAGAGACGGGCAGCTAAAGTAAGGTCATTTAAGACACCAGCGACATTCCAAGGGGCGAACAGAGGCCCGTGAGTTCTCGGGACTATTAAGACAGGATGTAAAGTCCGGTCACTTGAGATATCAGCGACATTCCAAGGGGCCCGTTACTTGGAACCTCAGGACTATTAGGGCAGTTGGAGGTTTGTGTTCGACACGGGCGGCCGCCTGGCAGTGCCGGGCCCGTCTATCCCTCTCTCTCTCTGGTTGTCTGGGATTCCTCTTCCAAACTTGTGGTGTGTGATTATTTCTCTTTCCTCACCTTATTATTATATTGCCACATATATATATATTTTTGATCATTTGAAACTCGTAAATTTGAATCTCTCGATAAAGTGAACATTTTTTCCCGGTCCCTTGAAAAATACTCGATAAGTTGAATAAAATCAATATTAATTGGTTTCCTTAGTAATTGGAAGTTGAAGGAATAGTATCTTGCCTTGGAATTGTATCATTATTCTTGTCTCAAATAAATTGCCGTGTCATCCTGAATTTTGTCTTTCCTAATTTTCTACATTACAAAATCATCATTTTATCTATTCTCCCAATATATATGTTGTAGATAAATGATAAAACTAACGTGTGCGCAATTAATAGGTAGAAAATCTTACTTTTGATGAATAATCTTTAAGATAATAAACTTAGTGATAATAAAACTTGTTATCCCCCGCTAGGGGGCGCTGCTTGCGAGTTAAGTCTACAAATCTGCAAATAACTCTAAGGATATTCAAGATATTCAAGAAATTATTTTTCGAAAACCTTTCCGGGGATATACCTAATAATATCCCAAAATTTCACGGCGATTGGATGTATGGTTTTTGAATCTATAGAGTACACACAGACAGACATTCAATTTTATATATATATAGATAGACTAGCGGATGTACCCGGCTTCGCCCGAGGTTTTACCCGAGTAAAGGTTTGTCTAACGAACATTTGTTAAAACAATTCTCTATAAACTTATATAAAAAAGATATATTTTGATAATTTGAAATTCGTAAATTTGAATCTCTCGATAAAGTGAACATTTTTTCCCGGTCCCTGTGTGCCGTGTCATCCTGAATTTTATCTTTCCTAATTTTCTACATTACAAAATCATAGTTTTATCTAGTGAACATTTTTTCCCGGTCCCTTGAAAAATACTCGATAAGTTGAATAAAATCAATATTAATTGGTTCCCTCGGTAATTGGAAGTTAAAGGAATAGTATCTTCGCCTTGAATTGTATCATTATTCTTGCCTCAAATAAATTGCCGTGTCATCCTGAGATAATCTTACTTTTGATAAATAATCTTTAAGATAATAAACTTAGTGATAATAAAACTTATAGATAAAAAACTTGTTATCATCGTCGCAATGGTGGCGCTGCTTGCGAGTTAAATCTACAAATCTGCAAATAACTCTAAGGATATTCAAGAAATTATTTTTCCAAAACCTTATAATATCCCAAATTTTCACGGCGATTGGATGTATGGTTTTTGAATCTATTGAGTACACACAGACAGACATTCAATTATATATTTTTATAGATAGATAACCCAGGTTCCTAGAGTGCAGAACGCCAACTACCTAAATGTAGCGCAAAAATTAAATGTATTTTTTAGATATTTTAATATAATTTTAGCTTGTTCGCTGAAAAGATTCTCTTTCGACACCACTGTAAAATATTTTTATGTTAGTAAGAAAAAATAAAAAGCTTTATTTATTTATTACCAGTTGCAAAAAGACAAGCTATATCCGATTTGGATAATTGCGCGTGAAACTATTTACAATAATTGCAGTAGAGTTGGTAACAAAATTTCAAAAAGAAAATAATCAATTAAGAAAAAGAGCATTGAATAAACATATACATTAAACAAATAAGAAACAATATAAGCAGATAGAAGAAATCGCAAGGTAGTTAAAAAGCTTCATGTTTAGAATTGGAAATAATCTTAATATTTGTGTATATGTGAATATTTAAATCTAATATAAAGTAATACTAGCGGATGTGTACCCGGCTTCGCCCGGGTTTTATCCGAGTGGAAGTTTGCCTAACGAATATTATTGATAATAATATTTCGGAACACACAGAATATTATGATAATAATATTCGTTATATTATATATGTCATAATTTTCCTAATGCCCAAAAGATATAATTTATTTTCGTCATAATTAATATGTTAAAATGTAAATACAAATTCATCCATCTATAAATCTGTACAAAATAAAAGTGGGAGCCAGCGCGCGCGGGCGAATGCTACGGCACGCCGCCGCGTGCGCGCGCTCACGACTGTGGAACAAGTTCTTTTTCAAAGTTTACATGTACAACGGCTGCGCCCTTCCATTTGATCACGATAGATATGAAATATTTTTATATAATACTAGCCGAATGGCCCGGGCAACGCCCGGGTTTTACCCGATTAAATGTTTTTATTCAAATGATATTCGTTACAATTATAAATTGGCACCGTGGATGTCACTTTTGTGAAACGTCCCGCTCCAAACTTTGTGTCTGAGAAGCGATATTTTTATAGAAAGATGATCTGGCTTTTGTTTTCTGCTCGAATGAATGTTTTTCTGTTATAATTTTGTTCCTGCGTACAAAATAATGAATTGGTTTCACCCGTGGTCTCTGCTTTTTGGTATTTTTCCCGATATAATTATGTATCTAATAATCAAACATGATACAGCAATATCGTCATCATCATTTTCTGACTAAAAATATATAGTTTTAATAATTGATTCGATTAATATAGTTGATATAATAATACTAGACGAATGGCCCTGGCAACGCCCGGGTTTTACCCGAGTGCGTATATATTTTAAAAATGTTTTAATTAAAATACTATTCGTTACAATTATAAATTGGCGCCGTGGATGTCTCTCTTGTGAAACGTCCCGCCCCAAACTGTGTGCGTCTTGAAAATATAAAAATAAAAATGTGAACGGAAAAATATGTCCAGGGTAGCCTAGTGGTCATGGCATCTGCCCGGTAAGCGGAAGGTCGTGGGTTCGATTCCTATCCCTTTACACTTTTTTTATTTTATCCATTCTGACCAAAATCTATCCGTGAACTTCACACAGTGAACTTCACACAGAGAGAATAAGGCAATTATATAAGTAGATAATCCAAATTGTGCCTTATCACACACTATTTTTTATTTGGCCTTATTACCTTGTGTTTATAATCTATGACGTAATGCCGGCGGCGCGCGCCCGTTGGCTGCCGGCGAGCACGTGACCTCCCTGTGCGCGCGCATCCGTGACAGAACCGGCTGGCCCATGACGGTCGTGACTATATATATAATGGATGGATAATAATATAATAATAATAATAATAATAATAATAATAATAATAATTATTATTATTATTATTATTATCATTAGATAATGATAATGATCATAATGATGATGCGCGCGCATCCGTGACAGAACCCATGACGGTCGTGCCTATATATGTTGACTAGACGAATGACCCGGGCAACGCCCGTGTTTTACCCGATTGAATGTTTTTATTCAAATACTAGTTGTTACAATTATAAATTGGAACCGTGGATGTCACTCTTGTGAAACGTCCCGCTCCAAACTTTACATGTACATTAGGTCAGCTGGTATTACCCCTCATTTTCACCGCTAGAGGCGCGAGCGAATTGACTTTTTGTAAATATACATAATTATAAAGATAGAAGCTTCTATAGAAGATAATGATCATAATGATGATGCGCGCGCATCCGTGACAGCGATGAGGAATTGAGGAAAGACGGTCGTGACTATATATTAATGACGAATGACCCGGGCAACGCCCGGGTTTTACCCGATTAAATGTTTTTATTCAAATACTATTCATTACAATTATAAATTGGCGCCGTGGATGTCACACTTGTGAAACGTCCCGCTGCAAACTTTGTGTCTGAGAAGCGATATTTTTATAGAAAGATGATCTGGCTTTTGTTTTCTGCTCGAATGAATGTTTTTCTGTTAGAATTTTGTTCCTGCGTACAAAATAATGAACTGGTTTCACCCGTGGTCTCTGCTTTTTGGAATTTTTCCCGATATAATTTTGTATCTGATAATCAAACATGATACAGCAATATCGTCATCATCATTTTCTGACTAAAAATATATAGTTTTAATAATTGATTTATATATTTTTTAAAATAGCCTATCGTCTTCCCCGTATTTTTTTACCTATGTATGGACATTTTGGTTTGAATTAGTGAACTACTGCGAATTTGTATACCGGACATACAAACAAACATACAAACAGACAAACATACAAACATTCATTTTTATATATATAGAGATTTACTCTTCATTGTTGGCTTTTTTATTATATTTACTCTTCATTGTTGGCTTTTTATCTTACATTCACTCTTCATTGTTGGCTTTTTATATTATATTTACTCTTCATTGTTGGCTTTTTATCTTACATTCATTCTTCATTGTTGGATTTTTATATTACATTTACTATTCATTGTTGGCTTTTTATCTTACATTCACTCTGTTGGCTTTTTATATTACATTTACTATTCATTGTTGGCTTTTTATCTTACATTCATTCTTCATTGTTGGCTTTTTATATCATATTTACTCTTCATTGTTGGCTTTTTATCTTACATTCATTCTTCATTTTTGGCTTTTTATATTATATTTACTCTTCATTGTTGGCTTTTTATCTTACATTTATTCTTCATTGTTGGCTTTTTATATTACATTTACTCTTCATTGTTGGCTTTTTATCTTACATTCATTCTTCATTGTTGGCTTTTTATATCATATTTACTCTTCATTGTTGGCTTTTTATCTTACATTCATTCTTCATTGTTGGCTTTTTATATTATATTTACTCTTCATTGTTGGCTTTTTATCTTACATTTATTCTTCATTGTTGGCTTTTTATATTATATTTACTCTTCATTGTTGGCTTTTTATCTTATATTTATTCTTCATTGTTGGCTTTTTATATTACATTTACTCTTTATTGTTGGCTTTTTATCTTACATTCATTCTTCATTGTTGGCTTTTTATCTTACATTTATTCTTCATTGTTGGCTTTTTATATTACATTCACTCTTCATTGTTGGCTTTTTATCTTACATTCAATCTTCATTGTTGGCTTTTTATATCATATTTACTCTTCATTGTTGGCTTTTTATCTTACATTCATTTATTTATTTATTTCATCTCAATTTGCAGGTGTTACATTCGAGCACAGCTCGCGAGTCACCTTGTCCAGATTATTTACACATGGCGAGTTGTAATGTTGGAGTGGTCCCCCGAACCTTACAGGAGGGCAGTTGTTGGGTGTTTGGCTGTCAGCTAGCCATTGGGTCCAGGTCGTCGGATTCGGTGGCTGAGGTCACCTTGATTTTGAGCAATTTCTTGTATAGTTGGATTTGATGATTTTTGAAATTGCGAGAATAGTCTTGTCGCAGAGTCTTGATACATCTCTTCTATATTAGGCTGGTTGAGATCTTCTTTGAGAATTTTGTTTGAAAGATTGAATGGGGCTCCTATAGTGGTTCGTAAGCAAATCCTCATGAAGGCATCTATTCTTTTTTTATCCGTAGGTGTGATATATTTGCCCCAGACTGGTAGTGCGTACGTGATGATGGGTAGAATACAGGTTTTGTACAACGTGAATTTATGCTTTGTTGTTAAATTACTTTTAAAATTAAGCAGGCTTGATAGAGATATTTTGGCTATCTTTGCCTTTCTTATGGTGTTTTGGACATGTAGGTTAAATTTTAATTTCGAATCCAAAGTGACACCAAGATACTTGGCATGGTCGGCCCAACTAATAGTGCTTGAGTTTACTGTCAGGTTGGTTTGTGGCTTGAATTTTTTGTTATCTCTTGGGGGAAAAACTATTGCTTGAGTCTTAGTTGGGTTAATGTCTTGCTTCCACTCATCGCACCATTTGATTATGTCATTTAGGTAATTCTGAAGCTGAGTAACCAATAGGTTGACTGATTTAGAGTTAAATAAAATTGCTGTATCATCTGCGAAGAGCTTAAGTTTACATTTAGAGTGCAGTGGGATGTCATTAATGTAAATATTGAAAAGGTAGGGTCCGAGGATAGAGCCTTGAGGTACTCCAGTCTGGATTGGCTTTGGTTCAGTTATAAAATTTCCTTGCTTGACTGAAAATGTCCTGCCCTGTAGATAATTCTGCATAAAATTGATAATGTCACTTGGAAACTGGTGTTTTGTGAGTTTCTTTATAAGGCCATTATGCCAAACTCTATCAAATGCTTTCGCAAAATCTAGAAAGACAGCACCTACCACTTCCTTGTGGGATCTTCTTATCTGGATGTAGCCCAGAACTGCAATGAGTTGGTGAGTTGTTGAATGCCCCCTTCTAAATCCGAATTGCTGCGGGATGATGAAGTTAGAGTTGTCCAAGTACATCTGAAGTCTACGTAAAATAATTCTTTCGTAAATTTTGCCGATGGTGGGGAGGAGGCTGATAGGTCTTAGATCTTCAGGGGATTTAGCGGATTTTTTTGGAATTGGAATTATGATAGCATGCTTCCAGACTTTGGGGTAGTAACACAAGTGCAGTGCGGCGTTGAAAACTCCAGCTAGAAATACAATCCATTTGATGGGAAGATTCTTGGCCATTTGCGGAGTGATATTGTCATGGCCAGGAGCTTTGTGGTTAGCTAAGTATTTAATCACTTCTTTGACTTCATTTGGTGTCGTCATTGTGAGCATTTTTTCTTGTTGGTGATTATAAGTTATATTTGGTTGGTCTTCTTCTTTTTCCTTGGAGAACTGGTTGGAGAAGTGTTCTGCAAGTTCATTTCCGATTTCTTTGTCGGTCAATAAGGTTTTGCCGTTCGTTACTAAACTTGAGATCCTTTCCGTTTTTTTCCTGATGGGTTTTGTTTTTCTCCAGAAGTCCTTTGGGCTTGATTCAATCTTGTGTATGAATTGATTCCAGTTCTCGGTGGAGTCGGATTTGAGGGCTTTGTTAACTTTTCCCTGTAAATTTAAATAAATGGCTCTATGGGCTGGATCCCAGGTTGCTTGCCATCTCTTACGAGCTTTATTCTTTTCTTTTATCAAGGCCTTGGTCGAGGGGTTCTGTTTTGATGAAGAGGATGATATAACTGTGTTTTTTGAGTAGCTGTTGTAGATTTTATCATTTAGTAAGGTCACTGCTGAATCAATATTGGCTTCTGTTTTCAAGGGTATTCTAGGAGGCGTACTGGAAATTAAGTCTTGTTGGAAGTGTACCCAGTTAGTGAGTCGGCAAGCCCTAGTCGTGAATTCATCCTTCGGGCAAGTCAGCTCTAAGATTACTGGGAGGTGATCTGAAGATAAGGCATCCAGGGTCTTAATCCTCGAAGTCCAGGGGATGTTTCTAAGAATTGCGATGTCTAGAAAGTCTGGATTTCCCAAAGGACTGTAGTGCGTGGGTGAAGAAGGTGCGACAATGTCCAGGTTTTCTTTTTCGGAAAAATTATGAAGCACGGTTCCACTATTATTGGAGGTTCTTGAGCCCCAAAGAGGGTGCTTGGAGTTCCAGTCTCCTGCAGCGATTACTGATTGATTATTCTCTAACAGGAGATTCAGATCTTCCTCCTGGAGTGGTAGATCGGGTTTCTTATAGATTGACGATATCTGCACTACTGTCCTTCCATCTGGTTTCATTAGAATTGTGGTGTTTTCCATGTTAGATGTTTGAATCAGCACTTTTTTATATTTAAGATAGTTTTTTAGAATTATTGCCGTTCCACCGCCCCTTCCAACGATTCTATCGTCTCTTATTGTCTGATAGTTTCTGAGTTTGAGGTCGACAGATGGTTTTAAGTGTGTTTCACTGAGCAGTGCCATGTCTATTGAGTTTTCTTCTAAAAACTGTAGGAATTCTTCTTTTTTGAGTTTGATTCCGTTGCAATTCCAGAAAACGATTTTTAAAGGTAATTTTCCTTTCATTGTAAGTAAGTTTTGATAATTTCTAATAACTTTTCGCACAGTTCCCTGGTGTCAGAACGAGTAGTTTTCTTTTTTGCAGTTTCAGCGT